AATTCAATTTCACAACTAAATTTATTCATTATGAAATTATGAAGTTACCCTAAATTTATATTAAATAATTACCAAGATTGTTAATGAAGTATTCATATCCATAATATGTAATCCAAAATAAAGAAATTTTTCTTTGCTATAAAAATGAGATTAACCCCCTAAGATGAATAGGATGATATATTTGTAGAACTAACTAATTAAATATAAAATAGGGAAAAATAAATGGTATTAATTATTGCCAACACACTATAAAGTATTTTTATTTTTTTATATTACAAACTAATTATTCACAAATATACTAAATATAATTTAGCTTTTTATTATCCTGTATTGATATAGAATCATCACTATTCCCAAATGTTAATGTGTTTCCATCAGGAGAAAAACAGACTGAACAAACTTTATTCCTATGACCATGTAATTTATTCAATCCTTTAATTTTCAAGTTCTTCCATTTACAATTAAATAGCATTGCACCGTTCAAGTTCACTCCACGTATGTCTACATTATCTAATTCAGATCCATTTAAGTTACATCTTACAAAATTACCACCAATAAAGAAATATTCCGGATTCTGATATACTCAAAGCTTTACCTTTTAAGATCAGCTTTCATTTCAACCAATAGATTAAGTGTATTTGAACCCATTAAATAAACTTACTATCAAAATCTGCAAGGTTAACAAAGAATTTCAACAATTCTATGATTTTCTTTACTTAATGTATTTTTTTAATACGATTTTATCTAGTTTATTGATATACTTCAGTTGAATAATTATTTTTACTAAAGTCATGTTGATTTAATATTATTCATTAACTTGTTAATTTACTTAATATTCCGCATTGCATCTCTTAAATTCGTTTCTGGATTTATGTGCCATAAATCAAGCTTTTCATTGGCATTCAGCACAAAGTTTTCTTAAAAAAAAACACTTGTGAGGACTTATACATATCAAAGTTATGGGTATTTGGATATGATAAGTGCAGTTTATCATTTATTATTTTTAATATTGAATTATAATCAATCTTAACTTAAATAATCATTATATATCAAAAAAAGTATCTTATAAATATATTATTGAAAATTTTAATTTAAATTTGCATGGCATAATTTTTTAATAATATAGAATTCTAATGGTTTTAGTTTTAAACAGAGAATTTTAAATAAGCATTTGAATATTATTGTATTTAATAATCTGATTTCCATTTAATGTATTAAGAAAAGAAGTAATTTGTACATAAATATTTTGGAATCTCATAATTTTCTTATTGATTATAATAATTGGGTAAGTAAAATCATAGAAAAACTAAACATCTTCTAAGAGTAAATCTTCTTTATTTTTAATTGGATTACTCACCTGAATATTAATTTTTTGGCTCTACTTTTTCCTTAATACTTTTTTGTTTTCTTTTTACTTCAAGTGGCATAGGGAGATGGAACATTCTATATCCTCCTGCTATTGGAGAAAGAGCTGATGGTATAAAATTGAGTACGGTGTGATATTTTACTTTTCAGGCGATAGCCTTAAAAATATATTTCTTTTCAGACACTAAAAAGATCATTCTCTTAAGGTATGAAGGTAATTCAGAAATACTTTGATACAATTCAATAAAATAAATGTATGTCTAAATAACTTTTCATAGGAATAAATTTTAAAGTTAATAATCAAATCATTACATCAATGAATCATTTTTAGTAATTTTGATTTTCATTACTATATGAATAATACAGAGATAATTGAATTTAATTGAACATTATAAAAAATTTAAAACTAATTATAATTTATAAAATCTATCTGGCATAATTTAAAGTATATTTATATTTCCTTATATTTTTTTAATAACTCAATTCATTTTCCTGATGTAACTAAAAAATAATATTCTTATCTTAATTTCCCTTTTTTCTAGTTGCATCAATTATGGAAATTTGAAATGCTCATTAGAATTTTATCAATGATGTAGTACTATTATCAAAAATACCCATTGCTTCTGCTATTGCAAGAAGATAAATTATAAGCTTATAACTAAATTTATTTAAGTATCTTATGCATAGCCACAAGAAAAAGTAGTTTAAATATAGACTGTTTGATTCATAGCTTCTAAAAGAGTGAAAATCCAATGAACTAAAGACCACAGACTCAAGAAGCCGTACAGTTTTATATCGAAAATGTAGGAACATAAATCTCAGAAACATTTTGACAGTGAATTAGCATAATTTAAAAAGAATTTAATGAAATATAGAAGATTTTATTTATAATAATCCCTTACCCTTTTTGAGATAATCTAATTTATATCAAAATAACTAGAGTCTGTTGAAAGGAATTATTTTTTTTTTGTATTGATAATTTGAAAAAAATTCAATGGTAGCTATAAAATTAATAATTAAATGATAAGCACGAGAGTTTTCTTGGACTTAAAAAGATCTTGGAGTTTAACAATGAAGCATTATAAATAAACACTGCTTAACCTGATAGACTATCTGAAAAGCATATTTTAAAGCATTTTTATTGACGAGAAACTTTCTACATAAGAAAATTATCAATTATTTTATATGTAAAACTTTCCTCTAAAATTAAATTTGCTAAAAACCAAAATCTATTTATATGTGAGCCATTCGGAAATAGACTCGGATTTAGATTTAATATCTTTAAAATTAAACCATTGTAACACGCCATTTCTGGCAGTTGAAATAGTTTAGTCTTAAAAATTTAGAAAAATTTCGTTTTTTTTCTAAAATCTAATGGTCCACTTTTCTGAATAAAAACATAATAATCTAATAGCTCACCTTATAAACAGCTTTTTTAATAAAAGTTAAACTTCTAAAATTTATATAAAAATCTTCTTATTTAATTCCAAGTGAATAATTAGAATAGAATTCATTGCTTTTACATAAAATTAACAATAGAATTATTATTAATTTTAATTAAAACTAAATGTATTTAATTTGAATAAAATTATTTTTTTCAAATGCTTTATTAAGAAATAAAAAAAGTTGATTTAATTTTTCTATTGAAAGAAAAACATATGAAACATAAATAAAATTATAATAAATTGAATAATAAATAAAATACATAAAACTACTGAAATAAAAAATGAATAATTGTTAAATACCTAAAATATGAATGTTATTCAATAATCATATATGATCTCACTAAGTTTCTCATTCCTATTCAATTCTATCCATATACCAACCTTTTTACCATTTTAATATTCCCCACTTAATGTGAATTAATTTTTATACCAGATGTCAAATTTCATTTCAACCCAATTATCAAACTTTTCACCTCTTTCATCATATTAACCACTCCTCTATAATATTAATTCGATATCACTTTAGAAAATATTATTACATCTTATTATTTACCAAATATCCCATTTACCAACTCTATTATCATTTTTATATTAACCACTATAAGTTACATAAGCATTCCACGAATAGTCACCATAATTCAACCCAAATACCCTACTTCATACCTTCTTTATCATATGATCCGCAACCACTATGTTATATTTGATATTCCCTTCATATAAAATCTTTTACATCTTCTGATCTTAATGCCTTAGATACCATAACCCAACTTTCTTGCCATTTTTATAATCTCCAGAATAAGTTACTTTTTTTAGACAGCAATTACGATAATAATAAAACATTTATTGCCAATAGGATCATAGAAACTTAATGACTATTTATGAGGAAAATAGTTGCTCAAGGATATGAAACTAAAAGGATATCCATGCAAATAAACTTTATAATTAATTAGAAGTATAGTCCACTTATTTTAACGAAAATTTCTGTTTATATCCTTGATATCAAATCTCAAATAAACTTAAATTAATTAATTATCAAACTCTTTAATATGGACTATGATAATAATTAATTTGATTTAAAGAAAAAAAACTCAAATACAAACTAAATTTATTGTGATAGGAAATCAAAAAAAAAAGCACAATCATAATTGATTGAAATTATATTTTAAGTAGAAGATATCTCATTTAAGAATTAAGCTTCTTTTAATGCAATTTAAATTATCGACCTCGTTTTAAAGATAAAATAAATAACATTCTTAAAAATATGTTAGAATTATAAGTTAAGCTAATAATCAAAATATTTATGGGAAATGGAGAAGATGATGATGTGTAGTAACATGATTCAATGAATACCTTAATGTCTCCAAGAATTTCTCAGTTTATAATAGATGTTCTATATTCTATATCATTTTCAAATGAGGATTTTGAATATTAACAAATAATTATTACAAAAGTGTAGAATTTGAATATTTTTTTGCTCATGAAA